TGGGGGGGGGGGGGGGTGCTCTGTGAGGGGGAGGGGCAGCGCTCTGGGAGAGGGAGGGGCATCGCTCTGGGAGAGGGAGGGGCAGCAATCCGAGGGGGAGGGGCAGCACTCAAGAGAGGGAGGGGCTGCACACAGAGAAGGGGGGGCTGCACTGAAGAGAGGGAGGGGCAGCACTCCGAGGGGGAGGGGTACTATGGGGTAATCAGGCTCTCACATGTGATTACAGGAGGTGGCAGTCGAGGGAGTAGAGGGTTTCTCTCATCACTGTGCTGCTGCTTACTCATAGTCCAATCAGCAAGTGTGGGCGTGTCCCAGACCAGGCTGTGCGGCTCTATTGAAGGGTGAGGACCTCATTTGGTGGGTAACACACTCCCATACACCAAATCCCAGCCGTGTACGTATGTGGCTGCCTGGAGTTCTGCTTTAATGTCCGTGTCCAGCCTGCCATAGATGGACACATGTCTCCTGAGATCGGCCAATGGCGGAAGTCGCCAACCTTCTGCTGAGGTCCTCCAGGGGGGAGCTGAGGGATCATTAAGCTGAGGTGTCCGTGTCATTATAGTTCCTGGAAGTCCCCGCCGTGATCGGCACCGGAGGAAAATCGAAGTCTTCTGGGAAGTGGGGGGTCGCCATCTTCTGCTACATTCCGGCTCCTCTCATCGGTGGATGGGCCGGTGGGGTGTCAGAGGCATTTTGGCAAAGTGTTGACGTCTTCCTCCTTCAGAAACATCGTCTGGATCACAGCGTTGGGCGGACACTCCGCTCTAATTTGGATCTCGCCGGTTCCGGCCGGCGGCGGCGGTGGGACCAGCTGATGAGTCCTCTCGTGGCTCAGAAGAATGCTGCGCCGGTTGAACCTTTTCCCACAGTGGTTGCAGGGGTAGGGCCGTTCCCCGGTGTGGATCCTCTGGTGGGTGGTCAGATTGTGCTTCAGACTAAAGCTCCGGCCACACTCGTGGCAGACGTACGGTCTCTCGCCGGTGTGGAGGCGGACGTGTTTGGTCAGGTGCTGTTTCTGGATGAAGCTTTTCCGGCACAGATGGCAGGAGTAAGGCCGTTCCCCGGAATGGATCCGCAGGTGGTTGATCATGGTGTGCTTCTGGTTGAAGGATTTCCCGCACATAGGGCATATAAAGATCCGGATATTGTTCTGGGAGGTCACAGGCTGCCCCTCCACATCACCGTTGGTCGGTCGAGTCTGGTGACCAAGTTCTTGCTGCTCCTCTGGTACGGTGTCACCATTGTGATGGGTCTGGTGGCTGGTGACATCCTGTTGTTCATCTGATGCGGCATCCTCATTGCTTAGATGTGCCCGGCCGGCGCTTCCGGTGCCGCCTTTCTTCTGGTGGACGTGGTGGCTCCTCCGATGGTTATTGAGCGTCTCTCTACGGCTAAAGCTTCGGCCGCACTGGGCGCACGGGAACGGCTTTTCCCCGGTGTGGGTCCTCTGGTGGGTGATGAGGTTGTGTTTCAGGCTGAAGCTTCTATGACACATGTTACACGTGAAGGGTTTGTAGCCCATGTGCAGCCTCTGGTGCTTGGTCAGGTTCTTCCTCTGCAGGAACCTTTTCCCACACTGGCTGCAGAAGTAAAGTCTCTCCCCCTTGTGGAGATGTTCGTGCTGTAGAAGGTCCTCTCTCTGGCCAAATATCTGACCACAGCGCGGGCAGGAGAAGTGGGAGGTGCCGTCGTGGGGATCTTTGTGCCGGTCCGGACTCGGCTGAGCGGTCAAGTCGATGTCATGCGACGGGCTAGTAGGTAGAGTTGCGTGGGGCTTCACCGTGGCCCCTTGAAGGTCCAGACTCTCGGCCGACGGTGACGTCTGGGCCGGCGCGCTTCCGCACACGGGGTCGCCGTCGGGAAATAGATGGGCGTGTTGCGTTCTGCGATGCACGTTGAGGATTCCCTGCCGGTTGAAGCTCTTGTCGCAGTCCGGGCAGGAAAATGGCCGTTCCCCGGTGTGGGTCCTCTGGTGGGTCACCAGGTTGTGTTTGATGTTGAACTGTTTGCCGCAGTGCTGGCAGGCGAAGGGCCGCTCCCCCCTGTGCAGCCGCAGGTGCTTGGTCAGGTGCTGCTTCTGGATGAAGTTCTTGCCGCACTCCTGGCAGGAGAAAGGTCTCTCTCCGGAGTGGATCCGCAGGTGGGTGATGAGGGGGTGCTTCTGCTTGAAGACCTTGGCGCAGACGTGGCACTTGTAGGCCTTCAGCCTTCTCAGGGTCGTCCAGGGAGCAGCCGGTTGTATCATGTGGAGTCTCTTAGGAGCTGCGGTGGCCTCTTCTAGGTTGGACGCGTTTTGTGTCCCCCCCAGGGGCCCCGGCCCCGCTGATGCTAGGTAATGGGTGGTCTGGTGAGCCAGGTAGGTGCTCCGGCGGCTGAACTTCTTGCCGCATTCCGAGCAGCCGAAAGGTTTTTCCCCGCTGTGTATCTTCAGGTGCGTGAACAGATTGTGCTTCATGCTGAAACTGCGGTCGCACTGGCCGCACACGTAGGGCCGTTCGCCGCTGTGCACGCGCAGGTGTTTGGTGAGGTGCTGCTTCTGCACGAAGCTCCGCCCACACTCGGGGCACTCGTACGGCCTTTGCCCCGTGTGGATCCGGTAGTGATTGACGAACGTCTGCTTGTTAGAAAAGCGTTTCCCGCACTCGGGGCAGATGAAGGGTCGGGGGTTCAGCGCGCGGTCAACGCGTGGCTCCTGTTTTGGAGGATGACCGTCAATCTGGAGGATGTTTACAACGTGTCCAGCCCTCGGCCTGTCCTGGCCGGGACCACCAGCCGGATCCCAATTGGTCTCCTCAGATTCGGTATGCGGTTCGGCTTTGACAGCAACATTATGCATCTGCTGCTGATTAGTTAAATATGGCGGTTCCTCTTGGAGGGGGCGGAGACCGCTCTGCCAGTCAATGGCGGCATATTCTGCATTTGGCTCCTCCTTGAGGTTGTGGTAATCTGGAAGCTTCTCTACAGCCGGCATCATCTTGGTGGACTTGTGGATCAGATTTGGCCCTCTGGTGGCCGGCAGCTTGTTCTCCTGGCAGCTCTTCTTCAGGTGGGACATCTGGTGAGTGCGTAAATTGACGCGGCGGCTGAAGTTCTTGCCACACTCGGCACATGGATAAGGTTTCTCTCCGGTGTGGATCCTCAGGTGGGTGGTCAGGTTGTGCTTCAAGCTGAAGCTACGGCCACAGACTTGGCAGACGTAGGGCCGCTCACCCGTGTGGAGCCGCAGGTGCTTGGTGAGGTGCTGCTTCTGGATAAAGCGTTTCCCACACTGGTCACATCGGTACGGACGTTCGCCGCTGTGGATCCGCTGATGTTTCACCAGATTGTGTCTCTGAGCGAATGCTTTACCACACACAGGACAATAGAAGACCTTCTTGACTTCCTGCGGAGCCACCAGCTGCAGAGCTTCTCCACCCCACGTTGTGTCTTCCTCACATTTCACCGGCTGGAGACCTTCTCCACCCCACGTGGTGTCCTCCTCACGTCTCACCGGCTGGAGACCTTCTCCACCCCACGTTGTGTCTTCCTCACATTTCACCAGTTGGACACCTTCTCCACCCCACGTGGTGTCCTCCTCACGTCTCACCGGCTGGAGACCTTCTCCACCCCACGTGGTGTCCTCCTCACATTTCACCCTCTGGAGACCTTCTCGACCCCACGTGGTGTCATCCTCAGGTCTAACCGGTTGGAAACCTTCTCCGCCCCATGTGGTGTCCCCCTCACGTCTCACCGAGTGTGTGATGCTGCCGTCGGCACAGCTCAGCCAAAGGGCAGATGTCAGCTCTTCTCCGATGGCGGTCATATTGGAGGAATCCCCGGTCATCATCTCTCCATCTGCAGGAAAACATTGGAGATTAGCCATATTGTCTACATAACATGAAGTCACATTCACCAGAACATCACAGACCCGTCAAAGTAGAAGTGACCCCCCAACTGTCACTCAGTTCTCTCTGAGCTCTGCGTGCTGATCTCCTGCAGCCTCTTCACAGCCACTTCCTGTCTACATGACTCCAGCAATGGCTACATGACATGTCTCAGGGCGGGTTATCCACTCATCTCCACCTAGAGTCACCTACCCCTAGTGTCACCTCCACCTAGAGTCACCTCCACCTAGAGTTACCTCCACCTAGAGTCATCTACCCTTAGAGTCATCTCCACCTAGAGTCACCTACACCTAGAGTCACCTACACCTAGAGTCACCTACACCTAGAGTCACCTACACCTAGAGTCACCTACACCTAGAGTCACCTCAACCTAGAGTCACCTCCACCTAGAGTCAACCTCCATCTAGAGTCATCTACCCCTAGAGTCATCTACACCTAGAGTCACCTACACCTAGAGTCATCTCCACCTAGAGTCACCTACAACTAGAGTCATCTCCCCCTAGAGTCATCTCCACCTAGAGTCACCTACAACTAGAGTCATCTCCCCCTAGAGTCATCTCCACCTAGAGTCACCTACAACTAGAGTCATCTCCCCCTAGAGTCATCTCCACCTAGAGTCACCTACAACTAGAGTCATCTCCCCCTAGAGTCATCTCCACCTAGAGTCACCTACAACTAGAGTCATCTCCCCCTAGAGTCATCTCCACCTAGAGTCACCTACAACTAGAGTCATCTCCCCCTAGAGTCATCTCCACCTAGAGTCACCTACAACTAGAGTCATCTCCCCCTAGAGTCATCTCCACCTAGAGTCACCTACAACTAGAGTCATCTCCCCCTAGAGTCATCTCCACCTAGAGTCACCTACAACTAGAGTCATCTCCCCCTAGAGTCATCTCCACCTAGAGTCACCTACAACTAGAGTCATCTCCCCCTAGAGTCATCTCCACCTAGAGTCACCTACAACTAGAGTCATCTCCCCCTAGAGTCATCTCCACCTAGAGTCACCTACAACTAGAGTCATCTCCCCCTAGAGTCATCTCCACCTAGAGTCACCTACAACTAGAGTCATCTCCCCCTAGAGTCATCTCCACCTAGAGTCACCTACAACTAGAGTCATCTCCCCCTAGAGTCATCTCCACCTAGAGTCACCTACAACTAGAGTCATCTCCCCCTAGAGTCATCTCCACCTAGAGTCACCTACAACTAGAGTCATCTCCCCCTAGAGTCATCTCCACCTAGAGTCACCTACAACTAGAGTCATCTCCCCCTAGAGTCATCTCCACCTAGAGTCACCTACAACTAGAGTCATCTCCCCCTAGAGTCATCTCCACCTAGAGTCACCTACAACTAGAGTCATCTCCCCCTAGAGTCATCTCCACCTAGAGTCACCTACAACTAGAGTCATCTCCCCCTAGAGTCATCTCCACCTAGAGTCACCTACAACTAGAGTCATCTCCCCCTAGAGTCATCTCCACCTAGAGTCACCTACAACTAGAGTCATCTCCCCCTAGAGTCATCTCCACCTAGAGTCACCTACAACTAGAGTCATCTCCACCTAAAGTCATCCAAACCTAGTGTCACCTCCACCTAGAGTCACCTACAACTAGAGTAATCTCCACCTAGAGTCATCT